CACTATTTGTGAGAAGAATCTACAACTGATCATTCGTGGAAATCAGGAGAGAAAAAGATCAAAACAATGTTTGGGTGATCGGCTAGTTAATGTGCCATTTAAGTTTACTGCAAGTCATGAAATCACGCGGAATTTACAAACGACAATGAAACGTGTTAGTCGTTTTTTTATTTTAGAAAAAATCTTAAGAATGTTTATAATTACAAATTTGTTAAAATATACTTTGTAAGAGAATAAAAGTAGTAAAAACTGACATCAAAACATTGCTTGTTTACCTTTAGAGTGAAAAGGAAATCCGTAGTAGCTCAAACTATTCTGTTGGAAGTTTTAGTTGATGGAAATATATTACAAGAGGAACGTACCAGTAGTATCAGTGAAAACAGATCAACTACACCACCGTTAGTTGGTCAAAATCTACAATTCGTTGTTGATATCAACATGGGAAGATAAATAAACTTTACAATGCCCTAAAACTCACAATTTCTATACAGATATCTAGATTTCACTACTCGTTCGCCGTAGCTACAAAACAACCCTTCATGAATCCCCGTGTTGAAATGTGAGAAAGGTATAATTAATCCCAGTTTTCGATAGAGCTTTACTACTCTTTCAGAATGAAATGCTCGTAGTAAATAAGTTCCCATGCATTTTCTCTCACTCATAGAGAGAGGCACTGTATAAAAACACGTCACAATGATTCGCGACGCGGCCAGATAATCTTCAAGCCACATTTGATTATTGTACGAAGAGATAAGCCGAGCTACTTCTTCCCTTCAAACGCACTGCACTGGATTTTTTTATTGCCCTATGGCCAAATTACTCTACGTACACACTGAATCGTGGCGGGAACATTCGGCTCCAAAACTATGTGCTTTCCCTCTATAGCCCTCCTAATCTGCTAACTTACAGACCTGATTTTCTATTGGAAGCCCTGGGTCGCTTTCTTCCCTGTCGTGTTCTTGAATCCGGAACTGTCGTCGACTTGGCCAGCGTGTTGATCACTTTATCAGTAGCGTCGTCGGGAAATTCATCTAGTGTTTGTATGCCAGAATTAGTGCCAGAGAGACCAGCATTCTTGATCCTGTTCCGTGTTCCCGGCAGTGTGGCGCTTTTCAACTTTTCTCTTGCGTTATCCGTTTCATCGCCATT